TCAGGAAGAATATAGCATTTTTAGTCAAATTCCTAGCTTTGGTGGTAGGGGAGAGAAAGGCAGTAGGCGACGACTCCAAGAAAGCAGAGTTCATAATGATGTTTCGGACACGGCTGCCTCTGTGTAACTGAGAGTCTTGTCTCTTATCCCAGATTGTCAGCTTGTCCTCTGAAGGAAATGGTGCCACGCACCAGAAAGGAAAACGAAGAATATAGCATTTTTAGTCAAATTCCTAGCTTTGGTGGTAGGGGAGAGAAAGGCAGTAGGCGACGACTCCAAGAAAGCAGAGTTCATAATGATGTTTCGGACACGGCTGCCTCTGTGTAACTGAGAGTCTTGTCTCTTATCCCAGATTGTCAGCTTGTCCTCTGAAGGAAATGGTGCCACGCACCAGAAAGGAAAACATTTTGCGTCGTGGGGCTGATTCTTCTTGGTATCTCCTAGCACAGAGCAGGCAGGAACGGCATCCAGAAATGACGTTCCCTCCAGCCTGCGCTGCCCAGGGCTGTGTCCAGGAGCTGACTGCCAGGCGCTCTGCTGCTTACAGCGCCTGGGCGCTGCGGAACCTGGCACATGTACAGGGTTAGATGGCTGGATATCCATACAGAAAACACTGGAACGCCAGAGCCTTCTGAGCGTAACCAAAACTACCTATGGACACAACGTGCAAGATTAAAATGTATTAAATTATAATATGAAATAAAAGGTAGCGAGGCACATTCTGTAAGGATATGGCATCTGTCCCATTGAAATTGCTTTTCCTGTTGTTGAACACAGAACAGTACTGGGAAAAGAAAACATTTTTGCTCTACGTTTCAAGCAGAAAGAGCATGTTCCTTGCCCGGTAGTAAAACTTTATACAGTAAAACACATCCAGTAAATTGGAAAAACAAGCTATGTTTCTTTTATTCAAAATCAACACAATATTACATCCTGAGTTTACACAAAACCCAAGAATCATTCTAGTACATATGCTTAGGTAGAATTCCTGCCTGTGTCTGGCCAATGTTATAAATTATATTAGTGAATTATTTTCGATAAAAACAATTTCTGTAACACTACAGGCAAGTGACTTCACTATTGACAGAAACAGCAAATAAAAACAACCTTGTAATGCAAGGAAGAAACAGGCAGGAGAAACTCTGAAAAGACTAAAGAAACAACAGGTTTTATTCTTTATAGGTTCTTCCGGTAACAATGCGTGTTGAGCCTGCCATTAAGTCTAAGTCATTACCAGTACTTTTAATACTTTGTGATCTATAAATGCAGTACGTAAGACAGACGTATCTTTAACGCGGTGCTATTTCAGCAGGTTTATAACTAACTGGAGCAGTTAGGTAGCCTCTCTTCAGGCTTGGCTCCACAAACACATACATCTGTCTTCTACTCACACAGGCTATATGTTGACAACTTGCGGGATCAGTGACTTAGGCCCAGTCTAAAGCAGTACTGCTGTTCTGACACAGTGGGACTCTGATTTATTTGGCAAGGTTGCAGTTCTTCTGCCAAGTCTGAAATACAGGTGATAGATAGGCAAGAGTTTTCAAATTCATACTGTAAACACTGGGTTGCAGTAATCCTGAACCAGTATACAATCACGAACCAGTATACAATCACGAATTAAAGCAAAACAAATGTATTTGCCTTTGTACACGGAACACTGACTAACGTGTGCATCACTTTCCTTCCATTAGTGACCCAGAGTACAGTACTTTACAGACTGCTTTTGTGTATGTCGTAACATGTATTAATTTAGTTTTCCACCACTTATCCTCCGTTTATAAATTCTGCATGACTTGAACTTTGAACAATAAATAGTTTTTAATCCGCCATCCGGTTAGATGTTAGGGAAATGATAGTCTGATTTCCTCATTTTGCAGCAGTACTTCTTGCTGTCCAAAGCTGGCAGAACATTACTACTGGTTAACTGAGGCAGGCACTGTAACTAAAGGGAAAGTTACATAGTTTGTATTTGTTTGAAATGAGAATAAAGCATGCATTTCATTTTTCAAAAAGGAATAAAAGCTATAAAACTATTCATACTGGAATCCTGTACTTTTCAAACTAAGAGTCATGAATCTGGTGTTCTACAACTGGGCTGCAACCAGAACAGCTCATTAAAGGTATTTCTTCCTGTCATCCAGGGCAAGAAAAACATTAGTTATATCCTATGTCATAGAAATGGAAGAGGCGAATCAGTTTGATCCAGGAATTTGTATGCTGTAGCAATTCTCCATCCTACATCTCCAACTTCCCTGCATGTTCCCAGTTCAGTGTTACAGCTGTCATGGGGAATGTGGCTCACAGGACGAAGGAATGGCTGACCGACTCTCATCATGAGGCTGGATTTGGAGTCTTGGGCTGGAGTCTGGAAAGACTGAAATGGCAGGGAGATATTTGCTTGGCAACTCCAGTTGCAGAAACACCCAGTGCATTGTGTAATGTCTGGAACTGAGTAAGGGATCACATCCCACCAGCAGTTACAAATGGAACTGGGCATTTTTGCCATCTCCATAATTTGGGACTCAAAAGCACCAAACCGATCCCAGAGAACTCCAAATTAAACCAGCCACGCAAGCCCGTCCAGTTTGTTCAGCTATCCTGCTACACTTTGTCAGGAATGCACATTCCTGGATAAACCCCATCTTTCACATCGTTGTGCTGCTTATCCCCAGTGACTCAATGGAGCTGCAACGCAGAATTCAGTTTGTACTGAGTTACTCTTTAGCCAGGAGGTTCATTTTCTCCTCGGGCTAAAATTAAGATCAGTCCAATGCAGGAGCTCTCTCTCACCGTTAACCGCCAGCATGAGCCCACCTCCTGGGAGCCAAACAAGGAAAACCAGTCCTCTCCTTAGGCACAGAACACTAAACACTACTATGAAAATGTTACCCCTGGCATGTGCTTCCGAGTCAGCCTGGCTGGTTTCCGAGCTGTTTTTTCATGTTCTTTCCCCAGATCCGCCGCCTCCCTAATGCTGTCAAAATAGGGATGCTGCAACAGCTGCTCACATGTCTGCCTCTCTGCAGGGTCCATACGAAGGCAACCCTTAGAAAAGATGAAGTAAAGGATCACTCAAAATGCTCACAGGTCTGCACAATTCCAGCTACTCGCCACAGCCAACGAGTATTTGCACAGACACGTGTTTATCTTCTTTTTTTTAATGGATTCTAAGAGTGGCTTTTCAGAGCCAGAACGAAGCTTGCAAAGCAGCTAATACTGAACAATTGCCACAGGGCAGTAATAGAAATTGCAGCTAGAAGGACAGCTACAATTGTATGGTGTAGCAGACCATCAAGCCTCAAAAAACAGTTAAGCCAATAACTTTCATTTGAACTAGAACAACTTTCTTAAACAGGGGAATCCACTATGGCACTAGCTGTGTTGTTCCAGTGTTTAGCGTAGCCAGTACTATCCACAGCTGCACCTTCTTTTTCATGTCTCCATCCTCACAGTTTCCATTCACTGCATCTTAAAAAGGGAATAATATGTTTTCCACCTCCATGGTAAAGATGAGTGGATTAGAAGCCCTCTCCGAACCCCCTCCAGCTCTATTTTTCAATGAATCTCTGACAATTCAGTAGCCAACTCTCAAACCACTTACCAGCTGATAAGCAAAACAGACTGCATTTGCTAAGTCTCAGTGCAGAGCTCCTCCACTATCTGTAATTTTCTTACCTTCATGAGAGCTAAAGCAGAGTATGAAATATTAGGGAATTTCATTTCTAACGGCTCCTGGAGGGAAAAAAAACACATAAGTGTACTCATATTAGCAAGCTTTTCAGTCATCAGGATACAGCAAACCAGCTTTCCATAGCAACATGACCTGTACCTCACAAAATGCTTCTGTCACTTCATGCGCTTAGAGGGAACCTGCCTGGCATTACTGAGGATGGGTAGGTTGGCTGCTGTGCCACCAGAAGCGGGGAGAAGGAGCAGAGATTAAGCATTTGTTTGACTGCTTTTTTAACCGTATCGGTTAAAACATCATGAGAGGGGTTCAGCCACCTCCAAATATTTGTACATCAGCAAAGTAGAGGGCAAAGCTTTTGGATAGGGAAAAAATTTTGCACAGCAAAGGACTGGCCGAGTTGAGCAAGCGAGGCTTTTCCAGCTGTACTTCCAAAGCAGACAGCATGTGTACTCTGGGTCAAAAGAAGCAGGAACATTTCTCTGTCCAAACACTATGTCTCCTTAGCACTGCAGATAGATTGCTGGTTAGCGCTAGGCTCAGGGGAACTGCATCTGGAGGAGCTCTTACCATGCTTTCTGGGTCTGGAATTCTTACCCCGCTGAAGAACTGGTTGGTGCTGAACACTTGCTGGTGCCTGGGAATAAGATCCCCTTTGACCAAGAATAAAAAAAACAAAGTCAGATTAATTTGCTGGTTTTACAGTGCTGCATTGAACAAGCTTATATCCTCTATCAAGGCTGACACCATCCGAGAGAACATCTAAAGAGATGGACTATCATCAAGTGAGCTGATTAAATCTTTTGTGAAAACTAATGTCTACCTAGGACATCAGTGATCCCACAGCCATGTGACTGTGCTGAATGAAAGGCAAGGCCACACAGCGCCAGCTGCCCGCAGTCACAACTGCCCAGGGCCTCATGCTGTAAATAGCTCAAAGAAATTCAGCTGGTGGGAGTAGTTTTTGGAGCAGGAGTATTCAGCTGCTGTGCTTCTTCCAGGCTCTGAGTTTCTCTGCTGTGCAGCAGAGTGGCTTTTATGAACTGTGACCACTATAGCTGGGGGCCTTGAAAAATACATATTTCTATATATCTCCCCATGCCAAATGCCTAGATCCTATCACTGCATTATTTGAGTAACTGCAAATTTGGATTTGCACTAGCAAAAAGACCCCTCGGTAGAACACCAGGGAATGAGGTGGGCAAGGCACTAAGTTGCACAAACATGTCGGCTCTGTGTCAGCACCTGTACCTCCACTGTGCGCTGGCCAAACTCCAGATCTGTGTGTCGGTGAGTGGGGGAACGTGTCTCAGCATCATAGCTAGAGGGTGCTGTGCAAACACCTACCAGGATCTGAAACTCCAGCCATGCCACAGCACCGAGCTTCAGCCAGGGATCCTTCCCAAAGTGTTGAGCAAGATCAGATCAGCAGCTAATTCCCCTGCTCACATCAGACACGATGGGCCAGCCCAGGGCTCTCATGAGTAACTGGCAGGAGCCACTGTTTGTTTTGGAGGTGGCCGCACGGCAGCGTGGGCACGCTTTGTTGGTGTGGTCTGTTGGAGGGAGGGTGAGCAGGGCTCTGCCGGCCTGCTCTCCGCACTAATACTGTGTTTCAGCATTTTCAAAGGAAAAGGGTTCCCAAGAGGCAGCCTGTCTGCATAAACAATCGTGTCTTCTCTGACTGCTGGAAGGGGACAGGCTAACCACAAGTGTTGCAGCTTCATTAAAATTTAACTCATATTGGGTGAAATTCTTTTTGTACACTCCTGAGGATGTTGTCTAGAAAAGAGCTTAAATGCAGCACCAACAGGAACACTCTGTAGCTTTTCCCCAATGCAGCTTCATGGCCCTTTTTTGAAGCTTAGAGCAGCTCAGAGCAAGCAAAATGTTCAAATCAAATCCATAACAAAAGAGCCAGTACAATAGCCAAACCACCATAATTACACAGCTTTGACCAAGGAGCTTTTCTCTGTAAACACTGCCTCAGTCCATCACCTGGATCAAAAGGGAATTTCTTCTGGCTGAAACGCTATCATTAAAAATAGATTATAACTTACCTAACACTGGAGGCATAAATGTATTCTGGAGGATGAAGCAATCAACGTTGAACTATTTTCTAGCTAAGGAGCTTATCTGTTTAAAGCTATTAGTCACCTTTATAGTTTTATAAACTGCTCAGTAAAAATTACAATTCTCTGTTCATTCCAACAAATTTCAATTAAAAGTGGGGGTTTGTTCCTTTCCACTCAAGAAATCAGATGTTACACAGCAACATCAAATAGAATCGAGACTGGATTAATTTAAATGTTACACAGATAATGGCTCTTTTATTTAACCTCTGTTTCAAATCCGAAGTGGCTCCTAAAATTCCTTGGTGAATAAAGACAAACAAGTGGAACAGTCAAACTTCCAATGTTCACACTCTCTTTCCCAAGCACACAGCCATCAACAGGCACCTGCAACGTTTACGAGACCTCCAAAGCTGTGATGAACTAAATCCAACTATTCGTTATCTAGAAGCAAGGACCAATAGCTGGTACCAAACCCTGAAAGATACCTGGATCTTTCAAACCTTTATGCAAAACATTCCTGGTCCTTTCTGATACAGGCATCTCATTTTTCTATCTGTGTGGTGACAGCTGAAGATGTGGAAAGGACAGCAGCAGAGGCAGGTGTTTCCGTGCCTCCTGCGGGGCTGGCCCTGTGCTCCCCATACTCTGGTAGTCACCGAGCCACCCCAAAGGACCAGGTGGGGCATCCAGTGGTCACTTAACATCCCACATCTTTCTTAAACTGCCCAGCACCAGACCCAGCTTCCCACCTGCTGCTAAAGAGAGAGGAAGAACGGTTTCAGGCAGTTTGTAGGCAATGATGAATGACCCTGCTTACGCAGCCCTGCCCATTGTGAGCCTTTTAGCGACAGCCTGGCACTGCTGGCTCATACAAGCTGAAACCAATTCCACCCCACAGATCTTTCTCTGAAGAACAGTCACCACCCATGCGGATGCCAACTTCATTTCCCCAAATCCTGCTAGGACGTGAAGCAGCATCTGTTACTCCAACTACACAATCTCCTAACAAGATGTGCAGGTGTAAGTCATGCCAGGAAAACCCAGCTCCCTTTCAAGGACAGTAACACCTCAAATAAAGCCAGCACCTACTAAAGGGAGAGATCCACTAGCTAAATTCACCTCCTGGCTAACCCCAATTCCCACCACAGAGGAAACTCCTCCTGGGCAAGCTGTAGTCCTGCAAAGGCATCGGGAAGGCCGGGGCTCTGACCGGTGCAGAGGGGACACTTACCCAGGGTTCTCCGGATGAGGTACAGCTGGTCGACGTCAGACTTGCCAGGCCACAGGGGGACCCCGGATAGCAGCTCTGCAAAGACACAGCCTATCGCCCACACGTCCACGGGGGGGCCGTACTGGGTGTCTCCCACAAGTAACTCTGGAGAGCGGTACCACCTGGTAGCCACATAGTCTGTGTAATAATCACTCGGACCAGCTAGGTTGGGGTCAGGAAGGAGAGAAACAAACAGGAATGTGGGGTCAGAACGATGCAGACGAGCTGCCATCAGTTGTTACACATGTTGGGGCACCTTCTGGGCAGGCAACAGCTACAGGAACAGGATGAGTCACTGGCCACTAGCAGAACCCAACTTTGGAAACAAGATTTGGCAAAAATCAAGACCATATTTTTCTCCAGATGAAAATATGCAGAGCTCCACAGCAGGGCCCTGCACCAGCCAGTGGTCAGTTCTCAAAGCCCACGTGATTTGTCTGAACAAGAGCTAAAAAAAAAACAGATTAGGGGGTTTATTTACAACGGAAAATGTGAAACCATTGTTTGCAGAGACAGTCCTTCTGCCAGAGGGGCTCCTCCTGCCAGGGAACTCCAGCTGTGTCTCAGCATTGCATAAGCAACGGCTGGGCAGCTCCAAGATGCCCAAGGCCGACTTCCATCTACCAGCGCCAGCACCACCAGCAGTTCAGCTGCACCAGCAGGGAGCTCAGTCTGTTTACAGAGACACTTGGCATCGCGGTGTCTGGGCTAGCTCCCTTTAAGCTGGTTTGGGGATCTCTACCCAGCCTTTAGCAGAGCTTCTCTGTGAAAACACTGCCAGCCTTTATATAGGATGATTTACACGTGCATCAGACAAAGACAAGTGAGTCTTTAATGGTGTTTGAAAGCCTGATCCTCCACTTCATTTGAGCTTTGACATGTTAACAGTCCGTGTAAGTAGCAAGTCGGCACTCACTCAGTATGCGAGCAAATCCAAAGTCACAAAGTTTGATGACCAAGTGCTTTGTTATCAGGATGTTTTCTGGCTTTACATCTCGGTGGATGCACTGGAAACAGAAAAAAACAAGGTTTAACGTGGCGCTCAGATAAAGAACCTCTTAACTCAGCCACATACCCCTTGCACATTGTGCCAGGCAATCATTAGTCGGCACTCACTCAGTATGCGAGCAAATCCAAAGTCACAAAGTTTGATGACCAAGTGCTTTGTTATCAGGATGTTTTCTGGCTTTACATCTCGGTGGATGCACTGGAAACAGAAAAAAACAAGGTTTAACGTGGCGCTCAGATAAAGAACCTCTTAACTCAGCCACATACCCCTTGCACATTGTGCCAGGCAATCATTCAACAGCAGCTAAAGCCACGTCCTGCTGGGCAGGACAATTACCCTGCCTATACCCCACCTTTGGGATGAGACACTGTGCAGGCTCCCAGCTTCAGCTGCATAGCTCTGTATGACTTGGACAACATCGAGTTAGCTCCCCAGAACCAGCTGGGAATCTACTAGCAGGAGGAGCAAGGTTTGCACAGCAAGGATTGTTGTTAACCTGGCTCTCTGCAAATGCAACTCACTTGATACAGCTATGTGTAACACTCTCCTAATAAGGGACTCGGTTTTAGAAATATGTGGGGAGATCCTAATGAGAGGTGCGTAGCTCCTCTGGGATCAGTTCTTGGACGAAGTCCATGAACTGTATTTACTGATAATCTAGTAGACAAGCAAATGATTTTGCTGGCAAAGCTCGCAGAAGAGATGAGGGCTATGGTTTAGATATGGGACTTTATCTATCCTTGTAGATGCCAGAGCACACCTGGTATTCCCTCTACTCAGCACAAGTGAGACACATCCAGAGTTCTGTGTCCAGCTTTAGGATCCTCAGTAGAAGGAAGACATGGGCATACTGGAGTGACTCCAGTGAAGGGCCACTAAAATCATTACGGGATTGGGGTATCTGACATCCAAGGAGAGGATGAGGGAGCTGGGACCATCGTTCAACCTGGGATCTTATCAGTGTGTATAAACACCTGATGGGAAGAAGTAAAGAAGACCGAGCCAGGCTCTCCTCAGTGGTGTCCAGTGAAAGGACAAGAGGCAATAGGCACAAACTGAACACACAGGAAATTCCATTTAAACATAAGCAATTTTTTTTTTTTACTGTGAGGGTGGCCAAACACCCAGACAGGTTGCCCAGAGAGTCTGTGGAACCTCCATCCTTGGAGATATTCAAACCCTGACTGGAAAAGTTTCTGAGCGGTCTGCTCTAGCTGACCCAGCTTGAGTGGGAGGGCTGGACTAGATGATCTCCAGAGGTCCCTTCCAACATCAGCAATTCTGTGATTCTTGAGAAGTCACCTTGCCTGCTGAAGGTTCACAACAATTGAATTTGGGCTTGGGAGAGAGTTTCTGCTGATCAAACTAGCAGAGACCTTCATTTCTTCTGCCTATGTGTGAAATCACCAGGGTCTAGCTCACGTTGTCCCTCCCCTACCATCACCTCAGCACAAACACCTCGGACTTGTCCTAGCTAAGCTGGTGGTAAATTATTGTGTCTCCTCCTGAGGACTAAAATGCTGCTTGTTAAACCAGTGTTATGGAGTTCCAAAAAGGGCAGCTGCATAAAACCTCATTACCTGTGATCTACAGCAGGTCAGACTGCAGCATCTCATTGTTCCCTTGGCTTTAAAACTCCATTAAATCTTTCAGATTGAGTGGGGAAACAGAAAAAAGAAGAAAAATGACAAATCCTGGAAGCAGGACAGACCTATGGCCAAGTTCCTGTGGCTCAACTGAACATAATTCTCCCAGCAAACACAAAACACCCATTCCAGAGCGATCTCCTGCCCGACTCTTAAATCTCAAATATTGGCAGATAAACAAAAACAAAGACAATTACAGCTAAGTTTGCCTAAAGAACTTCTCCAAAAGTCTCCTTTCCTTCCCTGCTTCTTAAAGCATCCCCACCGCTTTCTACAAAATATTTGCCATGCATATTTCCCTCCAGAAAGCAGAGGAGGGGTTGTAAAACTGGTTTACTGTATCTAATTTTTGAAACCTTTTAACTGGTAACATGATTCAATGCCTATGACCATCAACAGAAGGACTTTCTGGAAAATCAGCAGCAGTTTGCTCAGGTCTCAGCTGATTAGATGTTAAGCCAGTTTTCTAAACGTCAGTTCTAATGGATGGCACAGGGAACACACAAGGATAGATTTCTGTTCAGCCTGGAAGCTTGTCTAAGGTCATTAGTGCAAATCATTCCTTGACAGCAAACCCAAGGGACCTGTGTGATAGTAAATGCAACTGTTGTGGGTATACACTAATATTTTAGACATATGTTTCCGTTGAAAACAGGAAATTTCGTAGAATCATAGAATCATAGAATAGTTTGGGTTGGAAGGGACCTTTAAAGGTCATCTAGTCCAACCCCCCTGCAGTGAGCAGGGACGTCTTCAACTAGATCAGGTTGCTCAGAGTCCCGTCCAACCTGACCTTGAATATTTCCATGAAAGCTCTGTAATCATGAATACGGCAACAGAATCTCCTTCTCCTCCAAAGCCATGTTACAGCAAGCGTTAGTGCTGTTTAGGGGACTTACATTGTGTTTATGGCAGAAGTTCACAGCTTGGAGGGTCTGCCAGGTTATGCTCTTCACTAGATGCTCCGGCACCCTGTTTTAAAAAAGCACATTTTTATTTTGGCCATTAAAAATAACTTCACTATTACAGGAAAAAGGAAGAGGAGGCTTTTGAGTGCTAACATTGTACAGAGATCTCTGAGCAAAACCATCAGGGACCAAGTCAGAAAACTCAGAGAAAAAACACTAGGTGTGTTTTCTTGCTATAAGTTACAAGAAATACATAATAACCCTCAGTTCGTTGATCTTCCACTGCAGGGAACCAGTCACGCTGGCCTGCTGATGGTGGAGGCTGTTTGTACCTCTTCCCGTGTTTCAGAGCTGAGGCTGAGCTCTGCCTGCACCTCCCTGCAGAACGCAATGCTTTCCTGTGAGGTTACCCTTCAAGCATCGCAGGAGCACCAAAGGGAATGTCAACACCACCTCCAAATCCAGTCAATGCAACAAGATACAAGGATTTACGGCAGCTAAGAGCATGCCAGAGTGTCTGGCACCACTCAGTCACAGCCAGTATGAGGCCTGCCAACTGCTGACCACACATAGTGCGTGCAAGTCCGTGTCAAATCCTGTCTTGTGGCTGTGCTTAGTATCCACGCTTCCTGGCAATCCTCCTGAAACGCCAGCAGGCACTTCTGCCTCTGCAACTGCTCGGAGAGTTGGAGCTGGGGGAGTATCCACGGTATAGATGCATACTCTGACTTGCAATGCTGTCATGTCATTGATTGTCCAGAGTAGAGAGGTGACCAAAATGGGACAGGGAAGGATGTTCCTACAAGAGTATAAAGCTCTACTTTGGTTTGCATCTCCTCTCCTTCCCTCCAATGGCTGGCAAACACTTCAGAGAAAGAAAACCTCTGTTAAAGATCCAGCCCCCTCTCCTCTCTTTCAGTTACTGTGCAACAGTTCTTAAACTTCCTTGGCTGTCTGTAACGGTCTTCAACAGCCCCAGGAAAGGCAGAGGTGACAATCGTAGCACTTTCAAGCTCAAATTCAATTTTTTTTCATGTGTTTAATGCTGAAAAGCTTCTGATTCATCATAAAGAAAAAAAACCCCAAACCCAAAACCAAAACAATATGCAAGAAGCCTGGCTTTTTCTTTAAGGCACCTTCTGCTGTCAGCGCTGAAGGTCTTGTGCTGACACTGCTGTTCCAATGCTAGAGTTTCCTTGCAGAAACATCCTAGAATGATGAGAGTGCTGCGCTGACAGCCTGACGAGGGGATGAAGTTGGTCAAATGACCTGGAAACATGGTGCAAAGAGGCATGTGTCCACCCATCTTAATCCTGACCACAAAAGACTTGACCATCTGCCGTAGCAAAGATCAAAAGCAAAGTATGCAACTAGGCATTACATGTTCGTTCACACTGGAGTTGTTCTGATGAATAGAAAGCAAATGTGAAGTATTTTCTTCAAAGAGGGTTATCCTCCTCTCTTCAGATTCCAGGTGAACAGGTTCAAACTGGGGTCAAAGCTGCTCACCAGCTCACAGAGCCATTTGCTATCAGCATGCCCCATTCCCTTTCTAGAGCTCCACATCAGGGAGAAAAAGAGAATAACAGGATCTTGTTTACTCAACCCCCAAATTGTCTCCTGCAGGCAATTCATTTAGCTCCAAGCCTGCAAAATGATTTATGAACTTCTGCTTAGCATTTCCACAGTACCAAGTCACTGTGAATAATTAGAGACAATGTATTTTAGTGGGAGTGTCATTTATAATGTGTCAAAGGAACAAACCCTGTCCAGGAGAATATTCCTTCTGCCTGTGTAGCTCACAGTTTGTGCAAGCGCCTGTTTAAAGAAGAGGGTATCTGACCTGGGAGTTCACTGAGGCTGTGCGGAGAGGTGCAAGCACAGCTCCTGGTAACTCCTGCCAACCAACACATACTCCTTAGTGCTGCAGCATGGCTAGAAGTCACTGGTCTGTTATACCGGCCATCACTGACATCACTACAGACTGTGTATTTGGGTGCTCAATGACACTGCCCCGGTGCCCACAGCCTGGGTCTGCACAGCCTCCCTCAGCGATGTGCAACACACCTGGGGAGCAGCGGGAAGGAGGGCTGCGTGCCCCCAGCCCACCTGCCCGCATCCCCCCAGCAGCCCTAACCTGTTCGCAGTGAGACACAAGATGCTCCCAAGCGACTTGGGTTTGCTGCTGCCGAGCCAGCCAAAGATCACCCAAATGCTCAGGCTCAGCGCTCCAGTCTCCTTGGTGAGCAGCACTGTGCAGGAACGCACGCAGGCTCATACGCAATTCTTTCGGACGTCATTGCTAAACCACAGTAACAGAGCAAGTCCTGGGCACTGGACTGAGAAACCTCTCCGGTAATTAATGAAATTCATCTGAAAACTCTGTAGAGCAGCAACGACATAGACACCCCCTGACTCCTTTGCTTAAAGCTCCCAGTGAGAAACAGGCCACTCACCCCCGGGGGTGCTTGTCCAGCTCATGGAGAACTGTGTTGTCGCAGTATTCGAACACCAGATGCAGCTTCCGCTTCCTCCTGAACACTTCCAGCAGGTTCACCAGGTTGGGGTGTTTCAGTTGCTGTAACACACAGTGGAGGGACTGGTTAGTTACTGCACTGGGGAGTGGGGTAAAGGTGGAGGGGACAGTGCTTTTACCCACAAGGATCTCAATTCCTTGAGCTGAAACCTTTTATACAAGCACAGCACGACATGAAGAAGCAGCTCAGCTACAGCTCAGCCTGTGGTGTAGTTATTTTAGGAACTGACCGTGGGCAACAAGTCAGCTTGGCTTCAGTAAGTGCCTCTTAGAAAAGATGCTCATAGATAAAGAATTCATCACAGTGCCCACAGCTATTCCGGCAGCGCCTTTCATTCTACGTATCCAGCCTTTGACTGCACCACAATGAAAAGAAGCTCTCCCTGGAGAATAGCTTGGGAAATCACACACGGTAAGAGCCTGTAGCAGGCAAACACACATTTAAGAGAAACCAAGAGCTCCTCTGAGTAAGTATAAGCAGAAGTAAAACATGTGGTCTCAGCTTCACCAGCTTATTGCCAGAATCCGGACGGGTTAATTAGGAGAATTTTTATTGCTCCTTCTTCTTCCTCTCAATCCACTTCATGTGCTCATACTAGGGCTTCCTCTCATGGGGAGCTCAGACAGCTTCCCACCACACATAAAGCCTGAGCACAGCACGGTTATTCAAATGCACCTTGCAAAAGGTGACGGTGGACATTACTGGAACGTCTCATTTTCTATTCTTTTGCCCACGTTTTGAGGGAGGGCTCGGAGAGGACTTGAACCAAGGGGCACAACACAGTGTTCAGAAAAGGAAACAAAGAAAAGCCAGACCTAACTCAGGAATGTTATTTATTTTCAGATGACTCATGGCACCATCCCCTCTGTTTGCAGGGTCCTGTATCCACGAGGGCTTTGCCTGACCAAGGCTTTAGAACAGACACATTTCTAAGCAAGGAGGCTGGAAAGGGCATTGCCTAGGAGTTACGCTAACCCCACCTTCTAATGTGCCTCTAACCCACCTGGAAAAGCCTGCAAAGGAGAAGGAAGTGGAGAGTCAAGACTAGAGAAAACTGTAAGGGGCCTCAACTGAGGAATGCAGCTGTTTGGGGAAG